CTGGCTTGCTATATGTGATATCTATTAGAACTTTCTTTTTATATTTATTTATATGTGTGTGTATATATATATATATATATATATAGAGAGAGAGAGAGAGAGAGAGAGAGAGAGAGAGAGAGGATTTATTTATTTATTTATTCTTTTTAGAAGATAGTCTCACAATGTACCACATGCTGGCCCTCAAACTTGAGAGGACTCTCAGCTTCCAAAGAAGGGAAGACAATGGATGTGTTCTACCATACTTGCCAAGAGTCCCTTTATGCTCATTCCTTGACAATCTATGCAATACTAACTTGAGACATATGCATGTGAATTCACTACTTCCATCGTCACTGATACACTATAGCCAGCACTCAAAATTTTAAGGAAAGGTTTACTTGGTCTTACAGTTCAGTTCATAGGTGCAGAGGCAGATAAACAGAGGAGGGGGAGAGACAGAGCCTTCTAGGCCATGCTCCCAGTGACCCACCTCCTCTGACCTGGCATCACCTCCCTACATCACATTGAGCTGTAGACTCAGTAGACAAGTCCACCGATGAGTATCATGCACCCATGATCCAGTCACTTTTGAAAGGCCTACCTGGGAGCACAGGAGGCTTTGAGGGGACCTCTACATAAAAAAGATATGGTCACCAAGCAGGGGATTCACACAACTGTCACATCTGAACCTACTTCGATAGCAGTACTCCTCTGTGACTTCGCAGTTCCCACTGTGCTTCAGTGTATAGAGTTGGCACACCATGCACCAATCACAGGAGTAGGTATAGATATGGACCCTTAGGGTTGGCCTTATGTCCATCAGTACCTGTCCCAATTTAGCACAGACCTGGGGAAATTTCTCAGTACACAAACTTTGCTGGAATCTTGGACTCATAGCTCTCCAAGGGGGCAGGATACAGCCCCTGGGTTAACTGGCTCAGTCCAGTACACTCATCCAGCAAGACCTGAAGGATGCCCAGGGATATGTGGTTCCCATAGCAACTGAAGGTCTTGAGCTGGGAGCAGTGGCTCAGGTGAGGCAAGATGGCAAGGAGCTGGTTGTCTGTGATGTCACAGTTCTCTAGGACCAGGGTCTCCAGGGTGCTGGCCAGTTTGTTTAGCAGAACCTGGAGAGTCTCCACGTTGAATGATTTCATTGAGAACTTCCTCAGATTCAAGGGACTTCAGCTGGCTTGTCCTTGGACATTGGGCCAGATGCTTTAGATCAGATTCCTTCAGTGGATTTGAACTCAAAGGAGAGGGCCTCCAAGGGGGTCTGGTTCCTGGTGCGATAAGGGTGACAGAGCTGCAGGATCCTGGCAGGACCGGGCACTGACTGGAAGCTCCAGGACTGAGACTATTAGAACTTTAAATGTGAAAATTGTTTCATAAATAATCAGAGAAGTGAGCTGGATGTGGTGTCACGCAGTTGTAATCCCGGCACTCCAGAGGAGGATCACTCCAAGTTCAAAGCCAGTCTTAGCTCCACCTGAACTATATAGTGAGACCTTGTCCTAAGTAATCAATAATAATAATCAGAAAAGCAAATGAAATATATTTGAAAAACTTTTTAGGGATTAATACAAACTATGACTCACAAATCCTTATAAACATGATTAAGAAGTGTTTTGTTTTGTAGGTTTATTTGAGACAAAATCTTGAGCTATGTAGCCCACATTGGCCTCGAACTTGAGGTGCTTCTCCTGACTGAGCCTCCCAAGTGCTGCAGTTACAGGTGTGCACCACCACACCCAGCTCGATTGAGCAATTTAATATAATACCCTTTTTTTATCTCCTCTAGGCGACTGAGTCAAAGACCCACACCAGAAGAACTGGAACAGCGCAACATACTACAACGTGAGTTCAGCTAGGGAAGTCAAGTTTACAGACTTTCTTTGTATACAACTTTCATAGACATTAAAGGAAAAAGAAAAATTTGCTGTAAGGACCAAGGGAAGAGTGTTCCAGCCAGGGAAGAATATCCTTCCCCGAAGGGAACAGAATTCTCCCAGGCTTCCTGTGGAAGATGTTATGGGGTATTGTTTAGGGTACTCTGATATTCCAGAAAATTTTGTTTTAATGTTCTCATAGTATTCTGAGACTTCCTTGAGCATTTCAGAGTATTTTACAGTGTATGGGATGCACCACCACGTGGACTCTTAGACTTTCGTACCTCTAGAGTCACCAGATTCAATTCTGTACTTAATTTGTTGTCTGTGTACATAATTTCCAGGAGTAGTGTTCTAGTACTGATTTGATTTCTTTTTCTAAAATTTAATGTGACATTTGGCCTTAAAAACCTCACTGGGGGGCCGGGGATTTAGCTCAGTGGTTCTGCTGCCTGCCTCACAAGCGCAAGAATTGGAGTTCCATCCCCGGTACCCAAAAAAATAAAAACAAACCTCACTGGGGGTCAGGGATTTAGCTCAGTGGCACCGCTCCTGCCTGCCAAGTGCAAGGTCCTGAGTTCCGTTTCCAATAACGGGAAAATAAAACCTCACTGAAGAGCTTTAGGCTTCCCTGTGGTTGTTTGTATGCATGCTGAGTCTAACCAATCTATTGCTTGCTTTTTTGGCATTGTTTGGATGTGCACAACTTGGTGAATTTTAACATGCCAAACGCCTTTATAGACACATTGTGTGAAACTTGGTGTAATTTCTATTGTCCATTCTTATCAGTTACTCTCGAGCAATACTCTGCAAACTTTTTTCTTAAAGGGCACCTAGTAAATATTTTCAGCTTTGCAGGCCAGGAAGCAAATGTAAAGACTATTGTAGGTAGTTATAAGACTGTTTAGGGTTGGGGTAAAAAAAGTATACAAATAAAATAAAACTTTAAAAATTTTAAGAGCCTTCTTAGCTCACAGGCAGTATATAGGTACCTAGACAGATTTGGTGCCGTAGTTTGCTGACTTTTGCTCTTAAGTATTTGAATATACCAGCTGACCAAAAAATGTGCTTGATTAGTTATTTCCAATGGTACTTTACTCTGATTTGGATCTATAAGAAATATCTACGCTGGGGCCGGGGATTTAGCTCAGTGGTGCCACCGCCTTGCCTCACAAGTGCAAGGTCCTGAGTTTGACCCCTGGTACCAAAAAAAAAATCCTACACTGTAATTACTGAAGTGTTTAATATTCAAATTGCTATTTTGAAGTAATATTACGTGTTTCTGTCAACTGTAGCTAAAAATGAAGCTGATCGACAGGCAGAAAAACGAGAGATTAAACGTCGGCTTACTAGAAAGGTATTGCTTTCTATTTTTTTATTATTTCAGTCTGTACTGATTGTATGTCTTGTATTTGGATGATCTGTTTGATTTGGAATAAATATACTTAATTTATGGTGTCATCAATTCCTATGAAAATAATATATGCAGAAAATTATGTATTATCAAGAGCTTTTTTCTTTCTTTCAGGGAGGAAGGGTTGGGTTTTTTGTTTTGGGGGGGTTTTGGGGGGGGTTTTGGTACCGGGGATGGAACTCGGGTCATTTACACTTGCGCAGCAGGTGGCAAAACCACTGAGCTAAATCCCCGGCCCAGTTTTTTGTTTTTTTGAGACAGGGTCTCGCTATGTACCCCATGCTGGCCTTCAACTCACTATGTAGCCCAGGCTCGCCTCAAACTCGTGATCCTCCTGCCTCAGTCTCCTGATTGCTGGGATTACAGGCGTGCCTAACCACACCTGTGTTCATTTTTAATATTTTTAAAAGGCTTGGCACAAGAAGGTGTTTGATAAATTTTGACCTTTTATTTCATAGACCTAGGATTTTGATGTAGACTAAAACTTGGTGTTTTTTGCCGGCATTGTGGCACAACCCTGTAATCCCAGCACTCAGGAGGCTAAGGCAGAAAGATCACCATGAGTTCAAAGCTAGCCTGAACTACATAGCAAGACCCTGTCTCAAAAAGCAAAACAAACAAAACTTGGTGTTATTTCTTTGTTTTGGAGTTTTGAGGGAGTTTTTGTTTTGCTTTGGTTTGTTTTTTTTTCTCCCTCTGGTGCTGGGGATCAAACTAAGGGTCTTGCACATGGGAGACAAGCACTGTACCACTGAGCTACACCCCTAACCCTGTAAAACTTGTTGATGTATAAAGACAATAACAGGAGTATGGAGCATTCAGTTTTGCAAAGCAAACTGGTTGTTCTCTAATCTGTGAAAAAATTGAAATAACCCTAAGCAATACTTAAAAGTATGAAAACAATGATTTTCCTGCCTCAGTTCCAGATCAGTTAGGATAGAACTTTTTCTGTGCTTGACCTGTGGTAGTGCTGGGATTAATCCCTTTCTCTTTTCTTTCTCACCAAAAGTTTCAAATTGCCTCCTGTAGATTTTGATCTATCTTTCTTTTTTTTTTCCTGAGTTTTCTAATAGTTCTGAAAACTTAACAAGAATCCCCAGAAGGGATCTAGATACTCTTTTCTTGATTTATCCTACTTCTTCCTTTTGTTGGAATAAAGTGATTATTCTTGATAATTAGAGGCCATGCCTGGTCTTACTACCTTCTTATTGAGCAGGTTACCTGACCATACAACCTTATCATAACTTGCTACCTATCTTGGGTATTACTGATGTTGAAATAAAATTTGCAAGAGTTTTACTACCCAGCTGGGCCTGGTGGCACAAGTCAGGTGTGGTGGCATACACCTGTGATCCCAGCTCTTGGAGGCTGAGGCTGGAGGATCACCATGGAGTTCAAGGCCAGCCTGGACTACATAGTGAGTTCAAGGCCACCCTGAACTACACAGCAAGACCCTATCTCAAACAAAAACGTTTTACTACTCAAAATGTGGGCCTTGGACCAAGAGCAGCAGCATCTCCTAGGAGTTTTTAAGACATACTTATCTCAACTGTCCCCACCTGCTTATTCAGAATCCACATTTCATTCATTCATTCATTCATTTTTATTGCTGAGGATTGAACTCAGAGTCTCAGGCATGCTAAGCTCACTCACTACCTCTGAGCCCAGGCCAGAATCTAAATTTTAACCAGATCAGCAGGTGATTTATATGTATATTAAAATTTGAGAAGTAGGGCTGAAGATTTAGCTCAGTGGTTCCGCTGCCCCCCTTGCAAGCGCAAGGTCCCGAGTTCAATCCCCGGTACCAAAAAAACCAAAAATTTGAGAAGCACTAAATTATAGCACTATTCTCAGTCTTTTTTGTTGTTGTTGTTCTCTGTCTTAACCTTGCAGTGAAGTGCTGAAAAATAAGGATGGGAGAAGACAAAAATCTCTTGATACCCAGAAGTCTCTGGGGATGGGACCCAGGAACTAATTATGGTTAAAGACCCAGGGGATTGCAGTGTTTAGTGAAGATTAAAAGTAATTTCAGGGCTGGGGATTTAGCTCAGTGTTTCCTCCGCCTGCCTCGCAAGCGGAAGGACCCGAGTTCCATCCAAGGTACCCCAAAAAAAAAGTAATTTCTGTGAATTATTGCTGGCCGATTCCTGGCATGATGAACTAAGAGGCTCCCTTTCTTTCAGCTTAGTCAAAGGCCAACTGTGGCTGAACTCCTTGCCAGGAAGATTCTGAGATTTAATGAATATGTGGAGGTAACAGATGCTCAAGATTATGACCGGCGAGCTGATAAACCTTGGACCAAACTGACCCCTGCTGACAAGGTTACTATGAAATGCTTACATGTTCTCTCTGGAGTTCTCTTCCTTTTCCTCCTCCTCTTCCTCTTTCTCTTCCTTCTTTCCCCCTCCCTCTCTCTCTACTTTCTTTGAACAATTCAAGATCCTGACTAGAACGGGAACCATAAACAAAGCTTCTAGTTTTGATATAATGTTAAGTTTCAAGTCAGGATGCAAAATGCTATGATAATACAACCAAACTTTATACTCATAATTCTACCACCAACGCAGTGAAGGTAAAAAGCTACATTGTAAAATAAAAAAACTAGAAGGAGGGCTGGGCCTGATGTACACACCTATAATCCTAGCACTCAGGAGACTGAAACAGGAGGATCACTATGAGTTCCGAGGACAACCTGAACTACATAGTGAAAAAAGGGCCAGGGATGTAGCTCAGTAGTGCTGTACCTGCCTGCCAAGCCCAAGGTCCTGAGTTCAATTCCCAGTACAGGAAAAAAAAAACCTCAAAGCAAATAAAACACATTTTGGGTTTTGGGTGGGCTTTAGGGGATTTTTTGTTGCTGTTTGATTGGTTGGTTGATTTTGAGATAGTCTCACTATGTAGTTCAGGCTGGCCTTGAACTCACTGTGTAGCCCAGGCAGGCCTCAAACTTGTGTTTATCCTCCTTCCTCAGCATTTTGAGTGCTGAGATTGCAGGCACGCACCACCATGCCCAATTATTTTTTCTTTTTTTTGAAACAGGTTCTCACTAAATTGCTAAGTTATCCAGGCTGGGCTTGAACTTGGAATCCTCCTGCCACTGCCATCATGCCAAGCTCAGGTTTTTGGGGGGGTTTTTTTTGAGTACAGGAGATCGAACTCGGGTCCTTGCACTTGTGAGGCAGGCATTGGAACCACTGAGCTAGATCCCCAGCCCTTTTTTTTTCGGTAGTGCTGGGGATCAAAACCAGGGCTTCATATACATTAGGCCAATGCTCTACCAACTGAGCTACATTCTTTCTGTTTCTGGTTGGGGGTTTTTTTGGTACCGGGGATCAAACTCAGGTCCTTTGGCTTGGGAGGCAGGTGCCAGAACCACTGAGCTAAATCCCGGGTCCTTTTGTTGTTGTTGTTGTTTTGGTACAGGATCGAACTAAACCACTGAGCTAAATCCCCGGCCCCTTTTGTTGTTTTGAGACAGGGTTTCACTATGTAGTCAGGGCTGACCTTGAACTCACTATGTAGCCCAGGCTGGGCTCAAATTCTTGCCAGTTCTACCTCAGCCTCCCTAGTGCTGGATTACAGGCCTGCACCACCACACCCAGCATAAATTTTTTTTTTTTTTTTTGCAGCTGTGATGAGGTTTACTCAAAAAAAGACCAAAGCCCATGTCACCATCCGATTCCTCAGGTTCTTCTTTGTTTCCACTTTCTTCTCAGCTGGGGGAGCAGTGGTGGAGGGGCAGGGCCTCCTGCAGGTGTAGCACTTGTTGCTGGAGCAGGTCCACCAACCCGTAAATTGCAGATGAGGCAATTTGGCCAGGCATTGGGCAGGGCTTTTGCAAACAAGCCAGGCCAAAAAGGTTCAACACTGACACCACCCGCTTTAAAGAGTGTATTGATCTTATCCTCCTTGACAGTCATCTTGTCCTTGAGCAAGATAAAGGCAGAGTAGATGTAGGTGAGCTCAGAGATGGATTCCATGGTGTGGGGTGCTGGGCACAGTGCTAGTCACAGGGTGAAGGGAAGTCCTCACCCCAGTGCAGCCTTAGCTCCCTCAGAAGAACTGAACATCCTTGGAGCAGCTGGGGAAATGGAAAACACATTTTTAATGGTGGCAATGTTTGGAAGATTGGGTGGTAAATTTTAATAGTTAAGCATATTTTATTTCTGTAATGGGAAAAAACATTTTTACATGCTATGAAAACTATGAAGGCTATAATATATCTTTTAATTATTTTGAGTCTTTTTATTTACCTTGAGATTTTAGGTTTATCATGAGATAAATGGTATCAGGGAAAATGATATGAATAAGGCTCAGTCAGAGCAGTGCTCAATGTGTTGACCTCACTTCTTTCTTCCCTCTGGTTGCCCAGCTGGGGTTGCAGTGACTCATGAAGTTAAGTACAATAGAGGTTAGATAGCAAGTCCCAGTATAGTACTGTAACAGACAGAAGATGATGACATCTTTTTATTTCTACCCTACAGGCTGCCATAAGAAAAGAATTAAATGAATTTAAAAGTTCAGAGATGGAGGTTCATGAAGACAGCAAACATTTCACACGGTAAGACCACAAAAGACTCAAATATTAACAGCCAACTAAAACATATATATGAGAGTTGTTCAAATATGAAGAAATCTGATGAAATCATTTAAAGAGAGTGATGATTGCAAGACTACATTCAGAGAAAAGAAAGAAATAAGAGGCAATAGTATTTGCCTACTCTAAGTTTGGCATTTTATGTATGAAGTATGATCAATGAATATGATGAATACTTAAATTTTTTTAATGTAATACAATAAAAGACACATTACCTGAAGCCAGGCATAGTGGCACACACCTGTAATCCCAGCACTTGGAAGGCAGAGGGGGGAGGAGGAGTTCGAGGCCAACCTGAGCTACGTAGTAAGACCCTGTCTAAATAAATAAATAAGACACATTGCCTTCAATCACTCTCAAAATACTCCTCCTCATTTCCAACACATTTATCCTATCATTCTTGCCGCTTTCTGAAGCCGTTCTGGAAGTACTCTTTCCTAATTATCATTAGTTATGCTATCATGTCTACCTGAATATCCTGAATTGACTCAAAATACTTACCTTTCATCGTCATTTTGACTTTGAGGAGGAGTCAGAGCTGGTGAATAAGGTGGGTGAAATATGCTGTCATGTTTTTACAAGCTTGCCTTTCCATTCGATGTCACTCAGCAGCAGTAGTCACCATATTTTTGATCACACCTTATAAAGATACTCATAAAAGACTTCCACAAATGCTTCAGAAAGTGACAAGAGCCAAGCGTGGCGGTGCACACCTGTAATCCCAGTCCTAAGGTTGAGACAGGATTGCCAAGAATTCAAGGCCAGTCTGAACCACATAGGGAGACTGTGTCTCAAAAAAGGAAGGAAGGTGGGGCAAGAACAATAGGATAACTGTGTTTGAAGACAGGGAAGTATTTTGTGTTGGGGGGGGGTTTGGTTTGGGGTTTTTTTTGTTGTTTTTTTTTTTTGGTACTGGGACCTTGCGCTTGCAAGGCAGGCGCCGGAACCACTGAGCTAAATCCCCAGCCCCGGGTTTGGGTTTTTTAAAACAGGGTCTCACTGTGTTTAAGGCTGGCCTCAAACTCATGGCAATCCTCCTGCTTCAGCCTCCCAAGTGCTGGGATTACAGGTATGCACCACTAAGCCCAGCCTTAAACACTTTTTTTTTTTTTGGTATGGGGGATGGAACTCAGGGCCTTGCACTTTCGGGGCAGGCAGTGGCACCACTGAGCTAAATCCCCAGCTAAACACTATTTTTTATCAGTACTTGTACATTGAATATTTTCAATAAACTTGAAAAATGGATTAATATCCCCATTTTTATCAGTGAGGAAATCAAGATTCAAATCCTTAAATAACTTGACTGCCAATAGGTTATAGAACCAGGATTTACAGAAAGGAATGAATGAGCCAGGGATTTAGCTCAGTGTTTCTGCTGCCTGCCTCGAAAGCACAAGGTCACAAGTTTGATTCCCAGTACCAAAAAAAATTCCGAGGGCTGGGGATTTAGCTCAGTGGTTCCAGCGCCTGCCTCGAAAGTGCAAGGTCCCAAGTTGGATCCCTGGTACCAAAAAAAAAAAAAAAAAAGGGAATGAATATCTTCAAAGCCATGGAGTACTCTTCCTGGCATCTCACCTTTATAGTTTAAGAATGAAGAGATTGTGCTGAATTAGACAAGATCTTACACTATGTGGTTTTAGTCCTTTCTAGCACAGTGCTTACCAACTTGATGTACAAACTTCATTTTAATTATTTATCTTCTTGAAACAAGCTAAATAGTTTTTTGATTTGAAACAACTGTTATGACTTAGGACCCACCAATGTATGTAATCAGCTAAACTAGGGGCAGAGTGACACTGCATATAATCCCAGCACTGAGAGGGTGATCAGGCAGAATGAGCACTAGTTTGAGTCCTACTGGGCAACTTAGTGAGACCCTGTCTCAAAATAAAAAATAAAAAGGGCTGGGGATGTAGCTCAGTGGTGTACCACTGGGTTTGATCCCCAGTGCTACCCCCCACTCCCAAAATCCCACACTTGTAATCCCAGTAGTTGGGAGGCTGGAGGATCATGAACTGAAGGCCAGCCTAGGCTTAAAGGCCAGTCTGACTACATACAGAGACCTTGTCTCAATAAATAAATAATAAGTCCAGGTGTGGTGGCTCATGCTTCCAGACTCAGCACTTGGGAGACAGGCAGGATCACTGCGAGTTTGAGGCCAGCCTGGGCTACATAGCCAGACCTTGTCTCAAAAAACCAAATAAGCTGGGCGTGGTGGTGCAAGCCTATAGTCCCAGCACTCAGGAGACTGAGGCGCAGGAGGTTTGCTGTGAGTTTGAGGCCAGCCTGGCCTACATAGTGAGTTCAGGGCCAGCCTGAACTACAAAGGAAGACCCTGCCTCAAAAAACAAAAAAAATAACCAAACAACACACATGTGTAAATACCGAATAGTTTCTCTAGCGTGAGAAACTGCAAGTGTAAATAAGGATTAAAATGATTAAAACAAAAAATAACCAAACAAATGGAAGGAAGAGAGGGAAGAAGGGAGAGATAGAGGAAAGAGGTATAAATATATCCATAAATGGTATCAATGAAAGTTATATATTTTCTTTTTCTTTTTTTTGGGTACTGGGGTCTTGAACTTGGGACCTTGCCCTTTCGAGGCAGCGCCATAACCACTAAGCTAAATCCCTGGCCCTTCCTTTTCTTAACCTGAGCCTTCCTACTGAGTTACATGCCAGCACTTTTTCATTCTGTTTCTTTTCTTTTGGTACCGGGGATCGAACTCAAGTCCTTGCGCTTGCGCAGCAGGCGGCGAAACCACTGAGCTAAATCCCTGGCCCAACACTTTTTCGTTCTGAGACAGGTTTAAGTTGACCAGTCTGAGCTCAAATTTACCACTCTCCTATCTCAGCTTCTCAGAATGCTGGGATTACAGGTGTACACCGCCATGTCTGGCAGTGAAAGTTATCTTTATATGATGCTTAGAACATTTATAAAAGAGCCTAAAATTAAATAAGATGAAAAAATTACCAAGTTTGCTATCCAAAGAAGGAACATCCAAAGAAAGAGAGCAGAATTGTTTTTCCATCACCATACGTGTAAATGATTATATTGATTAAAAAAATTTGGGTACTGAAGAGTGACGGGTGTGGCAATAGTAAATTCTTAGTACAGCAGTAACCCCATTGAGAACACAGTGTAATATGTAACACATTGTAATATGAACACAAATAACAAACTATGCGTGCCTTGAAGGACTTCTTAGGATAGTCTGGGGAAAAAAACAATGTATTACTAATTACCATACAATCAACACAATAAATGCCAGAGTCAGTCTGCCAAGATTCGTACCTGAATTCTCCCTTTTCATGATGATATCAGTATTAATTTTTTTGGTCAACAATAATAGTAAACAACATGCTATAGTGAGCAAAATAAAAGAATAGTTTCTGCAAAGGAAGAATCGTAGAGAAATTTATCTGAACAAAAAGGAAGGAAAAAGCACTGCAAAGAGCAGGACCAGCATAAGCGAAGCTATGGGAGGTAGAAAGTGCATGTAGTTGAAACAGATGATTTGTGTGGCATTGTGGTGAAGATACGTCAGAAAGATGGGTTACAGTCCCACTTTGAAGAGCTTTGCCTCGGGTGACATCCACACCTGTAATTCCCACATTTAGGAAGGCTGATACAGGAGAATCAAGTTCAAGTTCAATTTAGCCAGTTTTTATTTAAGACATTAAATAAAATAAAAAGGACTGGGAATACAGCTCAATCAACGATGGAGCACCTCTGAGTTCTAGTCTCATGACTATAAAAAAAAGAAAATGAAGAAGAGCTTTATCTATTATGTTAGGATGTTGGAACCCCTGGAAATTATTTTTTTCTTTTTTTAATTTATATATTAATTGGTACATTTTAGGTATACAATACATTTACATTTATCATTGGGTGTTTGTACCTGAACATGATGTATCTTAGTTCTTATTTTTCCCCCATTACCTATGCACCCTTCACGCCCACCACCCTTCCCTATTTACATAGACTTTGTTTCCATTACCACTGGAAATTTAAAAGCAGGAAATTCTGTGTATTTCAAAATGAACACTAGTAGAACCATGAAAGGTAATATGGAAGGATGAAGAGACTAGCAGCAATTAACACATGAATTAAATAGTCATAGTGACTGTAATCTCAGCTACTTGGGAGACTAAGACAGGAGGATCCCAGTTTATCAAGATCCAGTCTCCAAATTAAAAGGTGTAGTGGAGTACACCTGTAACTGCAGCACTCGGGAGGCAGGAGGATCATCACACATTTGAGGCCTGCCTGGGCTACAAAGTGAGTTCAAGGCCAGCCTGAACTATATATAATGAAACCCTGTCTCAAAAAAAAAAAACCAGAAGGAAGGCAGGAAGTTTAGGACGTAGCTCAGTGTTCCCTGAGTTCAATCTCCAGGACTACCAAAAAAAAGGGCGAGGGGAGAGACAAGAAAGAAAAAATTCACAGCATATGATGGCTCAAATCCAGAAAGTGATAGTGAGAATGAAAGGCTATAGATTTGAAAGACATGTCAAACATAAAATCTATAAGATTTGGCAATCTGCTGGATTCCAGGTATGAAATAAAAGAAATAATCAAGATGACTCCTATGTGTCTAACTTGTATTTTCTTTCTCTTTTTTTTCTAACTTGTATTTTCTGAGGTCTATAAAGATAATAAGAAGTTGATGTAGATAGTTTATTCAGCAGAGCTCCTACAACATAATAAATACAATGCTAGATCCTTAGATTACAGCAGGGAACAGGCTGTAATCTGTTGTCAACAAACTCTTCCTCTAAAGAAATAAGGCAGATTATAAATTGCTAGATATGGTGGCACAGGCCTGTAATCCCAGAATTCAGGAGACTGAGCCAAGAGGATTGCCTCAATTTCAAGGACAGCCTGAACTACATAGTGAGACCCTGTCCCCAAAAATACAAAATATAAATTAAGTATGTTAAGTTGTTTTTTTTGTTTTTGTTTTTTGGTACCGGGGATCGAACTTGGGACCTTGCACTTGCGAGGCAGGCAGCAGAACCACTGAGCTAAATCCCCTTAAGTATGTTAAGTTTGATGAGCCTGTGACACATGGAGATGCCTAGAAAATGGTTCACTGTTCAGCCTGGAGTCCAGAAAAAAAAACATAGAGGTCTACAGATAGAAATGAGAGAACATAATAGGTCATAAGGGGGGAAATATTATTTTTAATGTAAAGGATAGAGGAAAATGAACCGGGACAGCATACTGAGGAAAATCAATTGGGCGGCAGGGGGAGGGGGAGGGCAAGAGAAGTGTTATCAAACCCAAGAGAAGAATTTCAAGAAAGAAGAAAGGAGGTTAGGAATATCAGGTGCAACAGAGGAGTTAAAATAAGAGTAGAGGGCCGGGGATTTAGCTCAGTGGTTTCACCGCCTGCTGCGCAAGCATAAGGACCCGAGTTCGATCCCCGGTACAAAAAAACCCAAAAAACAGAAAATAAAATAAGAGTAGAGCCAGGCATGGTGGCGCATGCCTGTAGTCCCCGCATTTGGGAGGCAGAGGCAGGTGGAGATCTATGAGTTCAAGGCTAGTCTGGGCTACATAGTTCAGGACCAGCCTGAACTACAAAGTGAGACCCTGCCTCAACAACAACAACAAAAAAAATCTAAATAAGAGTGGAATATTTGATGATCCTCTGAATGCTTTTGAAGGCCAGTAGAACCTACAGGATGTCCATGTCTCACCTTCAGCTACAACCTTGATTTAGAGATGCTGACTTACATGCTCATTGTCTGATACGGCTAGCTCACATTTCACCCAATGTATGTAGTAGTTTCTTGCACTGATTTTTTTTTTTCCGGTACTGGGGATCGAACTCAGGACCTTGTGCTTTCGAGGCAGACGAAGCACCACTAAGCTAAATCCCAGCCCATCTTGCACAGATTATAATCCTGTTTAATACTGCAAAACAAAAATAAATGTCTCACAATGAAAAAAAGAATAATAAAAGATAAAATTAGGGGCAGGGATTTAGCTCAGTGGTTCCCCCGCCTGCCTCGAAAGCTCAAGGTCCCAAGTTCAATCCCTGGTACATAAATAAATAAGTAAATAAATAAATAAATAAATAAATAAAATTAGAGTGGAGGAGAGACATAGCAATCTATGTTATCTGGTAACTTATTGTTTTGTTTTGTTTTCATCTGTTTTAGCTATCATCGTCCATGATCATGAAGTTTGAGAAGAACTAAACGACTCCCCCCAAAATAACAGGGTTGCTTTGCAGCTTGTCTCTGGAGTGACATACGGAGGGAGCTTCAGCACTTTCCAGCACTGCCAGAATTCTATCCTCTGGGACCTGGTTCTGGAGTAAACAGCACTCCTACTAATGTAGCTTTTCACTGGAATGGATTTTCATGTGGTGCCCATGGGGCAGAGCCGTGTACTCTATCAGTGCTTTTGAACTTTTCATTGCAGCATACTTGAGGGATTTTCCCTCACAGCCACCAAAGTTCTGGGCCACTTGCAAGTTCCAAGTTTTATTGGCTGCACCACACCTCTGCCCCACAATGACTGCCTGTGCTGAGGCACAGTTTGCACCATTATCCTTACCTGCCCTTCTGTGATCATGAGACCCACTTTTGTAGGCACTAAATTCCTGCTATCAAACCCAGTTGGTGGTAGGGAAAACCCTGTGGAGACCTCAGCCTTTTGGTAAAGTGGTGCCCGCTTCCAGAGGAAGCCTTTGTACCATACTGGCCCGTCACTTGAAAGCATTGCACTAAACCTCTTGTGACGCAGCAATATGGTCTTCTTCTGCACTCAGCCTGAGAGGAACCTCAGGGTCTGACTTGTTCCTCCTTTTTTGGCACTTGTCATCCCAATTTTTATTTTAAAGTGATTTTGAAAATTACTGGGAATTTACACTTTTTCTTTATGCTAGACAGTCTGATCTGCAACTAGAATGCAGGTTGATCACATGAGAAAGTATATATGTTTTCTATATACAAAGATAAAAAAAAGGCCTGTGTATTAATGCCAACTTGGCAGAAAACTGACCTGTGGCTTATCCTGTAAAGGCTGTTTTATTTTTATGGTACCAAATGATACTGTAAATCACTTCAACCAATAGATATATTCTCCCTGGTAAGCAGAGTTGTGTGCACTCTGTGGAGCACTTGTGTGCAGTTAGCTTCACACTTCCAGCCGGAATCATAGCAAGGTCCTAAAGGGAATGAGGTGCTGACTATGAGAAGGTGTGTGGAGAAGTACAAAGGAGAGGCACAGTCATGCTCTGTGCTCCTCACGTCTCAGTGCTGTTTGCTGTCTCCTGCTGCACATTCCTTCTTCACTTCAGCACTGTCCTCCCTTGACTCTCTGGCAGCTTCCACCTCACTCACCTTTCCTTTTCTACACTGTAGCAGTGTGGTTAGTGCCTAGGCGTTGACTCAGCCCTCACCCCATTTTGTATTTGTAATACATATTAGTATAGTTTTCTAAAACAGGTTTGCTCACTTCCCTTGAATTTTCATTGAAAACCAAACAGCCTCACTATTTGCTTCTTAATTCCTGTCCACACTGTAAGTGGAAAAGAAAAAGTTTCTACTTAACTAATGAATGTGGCTTTTTTTTAACTTTAATGTATAGAAAATTGTGGCTGTTTCATAAATTTCTTCTGAATTATTTTGTAGTCTCTGTCATTTGTTCACTATGTAATCTTTCAGCAGATTTATCTTCATGTCCACATCACAGTTGCCAAAGAATCAGAATATCAGGTCAGCCAGGTGTGGTGGTGCCACACCTGTAATCCTAGCACTCAGGAGTCTGAGGCAGGAGGATCACCACAAGTTCCAGCACAGTGAGACCTTGTCTTAAAAAAAAAAATCAGGGTCGGGGATCTAGCTCAGTAGTTTCGTCACCTGCTGCGCAAGCGCAAGGACCTGAGTTCAATCCCCCATACCAGAAAAAAAAAAATCAGTTTTTTGTGGGGGAGGGCTGGATTTCTTAGTTACTTTCAAATGTAATGGCTATGGAAACAATACTGGATCCACATATGCTTGAAACTTATTAACGCTTGAATACCTGGGAAAGATCAAGAAGGACTCAGCCCGAGGTTTGGATATACGGTGGCCACACATTAACCGCTAACTTGGTTTCTCATCATTCCATCTGATGGTTTGGAGACTGGCTTATGTCCACATTCTCTGTGGCTGGAGATGACATTCCAAACTCTTTTTTCATTGTCTCTTTCCCTTAATGTGCCAAGCTTGAATTTTCTAAGCTACTTGTCTGCCTTCTCTGTGCCATCCAGGAGTCTGGTTCATCTTTCATCTCATGTTCTTTTGAAACAAGATATTGGGGGGTAAAGTTCATTCAGTTGTTTGTTTTGTTTTTATGTATATAAAAATGGATGTTTTTGTTCCCTTTCTGTTTAAATTGGAAGCTCACAATCATGTAAAAAAAATAAAAGCCTGGTATATTATACTTCAGGATGCCTCCCTGGTGTACAGAATCTCCTTGTAAAATAAATAATTGCATTGTATATCAGTCTTCCCATTAAAATTAATAAAGTATTTTAGAGTTCAAAATACCAAACAGTTCTCGTGTGAGGTACTTACTTGTATGTTCTACTTGATTCCAGAAGATTAAAACCAGCTTAAAAATGATGCACAAGCTGAATATGCTGGTGGACGCCTGTGATCCTAACACTCAGGAGGCTGAGGCAGAAGGATCACGAGTTTGAGGCCAGCCTGAGCTACATGGTGAGACCTTGTCTCAAAAAAAAACGCCAGGCATGTTGGTGCAAGACTGTAATCCCAGCATTCAGGAGGCTGAGGCAGCAGGATCGCTTCGAGTTCCAGGCCAGCCTGGGCTACATAGTAAGTTCAAGGCCAGCCTGAACTGCACAGCAGGACCTGTCTCAAAAAATTTTAAAAAAACAAAACCCCACAAAATACTGCTAGTGACCCTAAAAGAGAAGTAGATGGGCAGATGAGAAATAATAGTAAGGACATTATATGCTGCCAGAGGTGTCGAGTCATGTTTGTGTCTGTGCACAAACATGAAAAAATAGATTTCAGAGAGGAGTTAACTGGGGATCCCTTATGTACCAGGCACTGCACTAGGTTATTTTTCCTCTTTAGGCCACCCCAGCTTGTTAGATAAGTAGTAGTATACTCTCTTATTTGTGAAGAAACAGGTGAAGTTTTTTCCCAAGATCAAAGCAAATTAGGAAATCTTTCTTTGCCTATGTTGGAGGACAAGTACTTGCATCCCAATCAATTGACCCTGCAAGGATTTACACATAATGGACCACATATAATTGGACCTCAGGCTGACCTCACAAAGGGATAGTTGGTGCTTCATGTCCTCCTGTCAGGTATGCAGCCCGTTTCAATCCAGATGGCAATAGCGCACTTTCTACCGGTCCCTTGAAAGACTGGCCTTATTTACCATATATCCTTTAATGGGGGTTAAAAGAAACCTTGAATCAGAACTACTCATGTCAGTGGTCTTTGTATGCTCTCAAAATACTATTTCTCTTTGGGGTTTAAGCTATCTCCAGAAGGCTGATTTGAAAGTGCACATTGCTCAGTGTTTGTTGAAACAATTAATGGATTTAGATAATGGAAGAGGAAAGTCTGATAAACCACGACAGGAAAGGAGAGGTCCAATGGGTACTAAGTGGGTGAGGAATCAAGATGAGAATGGAGCCTTAGCAGTGCCAAGTGCCTCTCCTCCCAGCTACTTGGGAGGCAGAATTTAAAAGGTGCTGGGGCTGAGTGTGATGGTGCACACCTTTAATCCCAGCAATCTGGGAGGTTGGGGCAGGAAGATGGCAGGTTCAAAATCAGCCTGGACAATTAGAAATTTAACAAGACACTTTCTCCAAATAAAAAGGCCAGGACCAGGTGTGGTGCATGCCTGTAATCCCAGCACTCAGGAAGCTGAGACAGGAGGCTCACCTTGAGTTGGAGGCCAGCCTTTGATACATAGTTTAAGGTCAGCCTGAACTACATAGCAAAACCCTGTCTCAAAAGGGGTGGGGGTGCAGTGCAAAGGTTTTAGGTTCAATCCCCAGAATGATAATAACAATGATATAAAAATTAAAAGGGCTAGGGATGGGCTGGGGATTTAGCTCAGTGGTTCCGCTGCCTGCCTCAAAAGTGCAAGGTCCCGAGTTCATTCCTTGGTATCAAAAAAAAAAAAAAAGGGCTAGGGATGTTGTCCAGTGGCTGAATGCTTGCTTAACCTAGCACATACAAGGCCCTGGATTCAAAACCCAATACTAAAAAAAAAGTAATCGCTATATAGATGTAAAATAAAAGTGTACAATAAAAGTGTATCCTTGAAGTTAAAACATGGCTTAAGCTTCTTCAAGTTTCTGTTCAATTCCAGCATTGTAAAACATGAAGGGAAACCAGGAAGCACCCTGTATTCTTGAAGCAGATATCCCTTTATGTAGCTATTGTTCATTTATTCCCCTCAAGAATTTTGCCTCCAAAAGCATCAATGTCATCTGACAGGAACAAGCACTCTCAATTTCTCTCTGTTATAAGTTTGTTTTTGTTTTGTTTTTTTGTACCAGGAATCGAACTTGGGTCCTTGTGCTTTCGAGGCAGGCACTGGAACCACTGAGCTAAATCCCCAGCCCAAAAATTCTGTCTTTTCATTCTTTTGATACCGGGGACCGAACTCAGGTCCTTGCGCTTGTGCAGCAGTCAGCGAAACCACTGAAATAAATCCCCAGCCCAATTTCTCTCTGTCTTGGACACACATCCTTTCCTTCTGTCTTTTCTCCCTTCCTGCCTTCCTTCCTTCATTTATTTCTTTCATTCTTTTTCCTATCCTCTCCCTACCCCCCCAAAAAATCATCCTTAACCATCTCTTTGCTTTAACCTATTACTCTATCCCCTATCTCCTTCTTCTGCATTCCCTTCACATAACTGAGTATAACATTGAATAACTTAAATTCTTAGGTAGTCCAGGCAGTTGAGCTAAATGACTAACAAGTGGAGGGAAAAGTGATAGAGATGTAAACTAAGCTTTCCCAAGATCTTCACACTAAGCCAAATCTCCAGGCCTTTTCTTTATAATTATCTTGAGACAAAAGTCTTGTTAAATTGCTAAATTGCCAAGCCTTGAACTTGGAGTCCTCCTGCCTCCCAGAGTACTGAGACAGGAGGATCTCCAAGAGTACCAGGCCAGCCTGGGCTACAGAGCAAGACCCTGTCTCAAAAAACAAAAACAAAAACAAAAGATCTGGCTAGTCACCAAGTTGGCCAAGCTGTCCTCAAACTTGTGATCTTCTAGCCTAGGCCTCCCAGAGTGCTGGGATTACAGTTGTGTGCCACCTCCCCTAGCAGTGTAGCTGTTACACACACACACACACACACACACACACGCACATACAAAGACAATGAAGTCTTAATATTTTTAACTTACTGACTTCCCAAAGAAGTCTCAGGAACGCTGAGACATATTATAGAACTACTGGTCTGGGACGATTTCTTTTTCTTTCTTTCTTTCTTTTTTTTTAAAACCTAGAACCTTCCTGCTGAGCTGCATCCCCAGACTGACTTACCATTTTCAGACAGTTTCTAAATCATCAAATTTCACAAAGTGAGCTTGAATTTGCATTCCTACTGTGAAGCCTGCCAGATTCCTGGGACTACAGTTCTGGATAATGCTAATGTCTTAGAATTCCTGTAACAGTAAATAATATACTATAGTACCCAGCACAAAAATCTAATACATAGGAGGAAGGCCTCAAGCGTGTCTGTTTAGAATAGCCTAGCAGTGATGGCTCCATGTCAACTGAGCTGACATGTATTTGTTTAATCCCTCACTCACAATAATACTACCACGTGTTCAGCACTTAACATGTTTTTTGGTTTTTGTTTTTTGCCTTGTTTATTCAGATGCTAAGATGAAAAGCGCTCAACACTGAGTTACACCTCCAAGCCTTGCAATACATATCTTCAGCGTCCTTTATTGCCTATGTCTTTATATCAGTCGGGTTTTCCGTGTTGCGAGGGATAAAAATACATATCAAATTCAACCAACCACCATACCACCAAGCAACACTCCCTCACCCCTACTTTAATCAGTTTTCAGGTTATAGCTCAGTGACATTAAGTACATTATTATGCACAGTAAGTGTTTAATTTTTGCCAATGCACCTAGAAGCACTCCTGTCCTACATATATCAAGTTTCTTTCGCGTGTGACACTGCTTTACTATGGATCTTTCCCTATTTTGGAAACTTATTCTAAAACCCTTCTGGCCAAGTAATCAGAGAATGCCCCACAGCCAGAGTAAACAGACTAAAATGTTTATGTTCCCCAGCAAGGTCCCGCTCGCAGGCTCTAGTCTCGCGAGAGGTCTCGATCCAGCTAGGGGTGGGGCTCAAGTGTACATCCCAGGAGCCTTAGCGAATTACCGAACTGCGCATGTTGCTGCGTAGGCGCGCTAGACATGCCTTGATTTCCGGACCCTTCTTAAGGTATAAATACGGCTACTTCGGGCTTGCTCCATCTTTCGGACAAAGGGTATCTCACGTTTCTTCCTACTTTGGTGAGTGTTTTTACCTGTCTGGTTCGTGTGCTGCAGGTCTTACCAACCAGCCTTTCCTGAGGCTGTTATTTGAACAGATGGCTTCAGGGGCGTCCATACCAATGAGTCTTGAGTGGAGCCTGAGCCGGATGTGGGCTGCTGAGGGTTCGCTACCCTAGCGCCTGCGGGGCCCTCTTTCCTCTTGCTCTGGGATGCTGAGATAATAGGGTACTGCTTCCTAGAGGGCACATGACCCCCGAATGGATTTGCACACGCGTGTATTAGTGGGCCTCCGTTCGTGATTAAAAACTAACACTTTATAATCCGGGGTAATATAACCACTCCATGCTTGAATTTACGATGGGTGAGCAAGTTACCTCTGCTTTTGCCTTTACCTTCTGCTGAGTGGTAATATAAGCTTGCTGATAGTTGCCCTGTGGTACTGCATTGAATCCATGCCATTTGCGCTGACGTACATCTCAAGCCCTTTTTTTTCTTTTTAAGACAGGGTCTAGCTAAATTTCTCAGGCTGGGCTTGAACTGTGATCTTTATTGTCTCAGCTTCCTAGCATTGTAGCTGGGTGTCAGGCATGTGCCATCATCCCTGGCTTGAAAATTAAATTTCTAAAAATGTGATGTTCACCTTGCATTTATAGGGTTTAATGATCTATTGTAATATATCCCAGGAAAGTCGCTATCCACTAGATAAAATTGTTTCTCAACGCAGTCGTCTGTAAGTTACATGAATTTCTCTGACTGTCCAACGTGGATATCCCGAGAGGTCACTCTCCCCGGGCTCTGTCCAGGTGGCGTAGGGGAGCATAGGGCTCTGCCCCATGATGTACAGTCCCTTTCCACGACGTTGGAGAAGAAGCTGGGCCTTGTGTCTGCGCCTGCATATTCCTACAACTTCTCAGAGGCCTTTGGGCAATGACTGAGGAGATAAACCATGCAGGAAACAGTCCTAGATCTCGCGTTTTGGATATAACTTAGCCTCATTTAAGAAAAATTTGTTTTAATCTCTTACTTGGTGCATCATTTTTCTTGCAGAATTCACTGAAGAGTCCAGGTAACTTGGTGGGGGGGTAAGTAAATCAGCACTGAATTGTTTTTGCATTAACGGTATTTGTCAGGTGGTCCTTGTTCTAACCTCTCAAGCTTTACCTCAGACATTTAATTGTAAGCACAGAACACTCGTTCTATCTGTATACAAACTTGGCCCCATTTTTGCAGGGGCATTGATATAAACTAAGTATATTCATGTCTTGTGAAAATTGGTGTTTTAGTTACGTCAATAAAATAGCATAAATATTTCTTCATAAAATATTTCTTACATGCTCGTGTGGTTGAGGGGAGAATTAGTGAAATGAAAAGGTGCTGAATATAGCTCAGTGGTAGAGCATTCCAGGTTCCATTTCCAGTATTAGAAGAAAAAGTGAGAGGATTAAAAACAGGAGATAGGGTAGTTTGACCAAGGTCACAATTGCAGAGCTTTCACCTCAGTCATGTAATAAATAGCATATTCCTGGGCTCTGTCCAAGAGAGCTAAGCTGCGACTGTTACCAATAAAAATGCTGAGTAGATAAAAGCATGGAGTAAACCCTAACTCTAACCCTAGGAACTCTTAACAGGCTTTCTTGCTACCTATTGAGATAAGAAAAGCTTGTGAGGATGTTTTAAGGGGTAATGTTTGGGGATGTTAGATTTTGTCGGTCCAGCTTCCCAGGAAGCTTCTTGGAGTCCTTTGGGCAATGACTGAGGAGATAAACCATGCAGGAAACCATCTGGTAAACTAAGACTTTAAATTTAAACTGAAGGGCCGGGGATTTAGCTCAGTGGCACTGCGCCTGCCTCTCAAGCACAAGGTCCTGAGTTTGATCCCTGGTATCAAAAAATTAAACTACAAACTTCAAGAATATAATCTTGTAATGGAATTAATATGAGAAAAAGAAAAATGGAAATAAAGTCTTTGTAGGTTAGAGGGGTTGAAGGGAGGGCAGGGGAATGGAGAAAAAATAAGAACCAAGATGGATTATGTAAAAGTGCAGATTTCCAATGATGAATGTCATTATATTGTATACCTTAAAAGTACCAATAAAATTAATTAAAAAAAAATAATCTTGTGTTTCTTTTCATTGAGGAGAAAGGGGGACCACGCTGGATTTGGCCATTCACCTGGAAGACGTGTTCAGAAATACAGTGAATGCTGCTGCTAAGTCCCATCCAAGGGAAAGGGAGGGATCCTCAATACAAGAAGCAGTTTGTGGAACCATAGAAATAGTGTGACAAGTTTTAAACTTGTTGGATGAGCTTTGGTTGAGAAAAAGTGTTTTTGACTCTGCTGCAAATAATGGATCACGAACAACGCATTAACGTGGAATTTTGTTTCAAACTACAAAAAACTGCTAAAGAAACACATGAGATGTTAAAATTAGTTTATGGTGATGGTGCAGTGACTATGGAGACAGTTTCCGAGTGGTTTGAGCAATTTCGTAATGGCTGTGAATCAGTTGAAGACAAAAAGAATGTCCTTCAACATCAAAAACCGAAAAAAAGATTAAAAGAATGAGTGAAATGATTAGATCAGACAGTTGACTATTAAGGACATTTCAGAGGATCTGAAGGTCCTTTCCATTCAAAGCATTTTAGCAAATTTTAATACAAGGGGAGTATCACATTTGTTCCACATGTTTGACTGCTGAACAAAAGATGTCCATTTGTTATTCTCTTTGGAGCTGTGCACTCTGCCACTTCAGGTTCCATTACTTTAGTAAATGTCATCAGGGGACAGAAACTAAGGTCTGTGATTATGATGCTGAGACCAAGTTTCCAAGTTCTCAGTGGAAATCACCCAGGTGGCCTTTTGTGAGAAAAGCGCATCAGTCAAGATCCAACAAGGTGATACTGTGTTTTTTGACCTTGATGGAATTGTGGGATTTGAGTTTGTAACAAGGAATCCTGAATATTCCAAGAGCTTATTAGAACATTTACAAAATGATGTGTGAAGAAGGCAGCCTGAGAAATGGGCATACAGTTTTATCCTCCCATCATTACAGCGATCCATGTCATGTATCACTTGATACAGCAATTTGTTTCTGCCTTATCGGATCTGACACTGCAAGTTCTTGCTCTTCCCCAAAGTCAAAATGACCATGAAAGGTGAACATTTTCAATAGATTCAGATTTCAAGGTAGCCAACAGCATAAGTAAAGTCACAAAAGAGAACTGCTTCAGGGTCTTGCTGAATTACCCAGGCTGGGCTGCAAGGCATATAAACTAAAAAGTCTGCTATTCCAATATCAAAGACTGGAATCACTCAATAATTGTCAAATTCTTTTGTCACCCCAGATATGTTTGACCTGTATAAGGAATTTTTTTTTTTTGGTACTGGGGATTAAACTCAGGACCTTGTGCTTTTGAGTCTATAAGGAATTTAAGGCACTGGGGATAGGTCAATTAAAAACGTAGGAGTATGGCTCCTGGCCTTTGCCTCAATCTCCAGCACCCCAAAAGTCCTGCCAAATTGAAATTTCTCATATTTGGCTTTTTCTACCATTCTCAAGGAGATGGTGGTTTCCAAGCAAAACTAGCCATGTTTTTAAATGAATAAATTCCACATGAACTATACCTAGCATTTCAAATCAGAGTTCTCAATGAATTGAAATAGATGACTGTGTGTGTGTGGTTCCTTTATGTAGAAATGTGAGGGCTTCAGCCCAACTAATATATTGGTTTGATTCAGAGGTAAAGCAGCTTACAGTGAATTTGGGGTATCCTGGAGTTAATAACTGATAGGTGACTGGTCATGGATGTTGAATGAGAAGTCAAATTTGGGTATAGTTGCATGTCAGACCAGTACACAGTGTATGGGAAAATTGACTTTAGGGCAGTGGTGGCAAACCTATGGCGCGCATTCCACAGCAGGCTGTATCCCTGAATGCTTTAAAAGCCCACCACTGCTTTAGGGGCTAGGAAATTTTACTTTGGACAGCTAGAGTGCTCATTAATTCTCTACCTCCTGGGTTTTTTTGTTTATGGCTGTGTGGCCTGGGGCCACTTCTCTGTACCTCTTTCCTCATCTTTAAAGTGGGAACTTTTTTTTTTTAAGAACTAGCAAATGAACTTTGGGCCTTTTCCATCGAGTTACGGCCTCATCTTCAACCCTTTTTATTTTAAGACTGTCCCAAAATTGCTTACCCTAGGCTTGGAACTTTCGACTCTAGCCCCATCCTCCCAGAGTGATGGGCTACCTCCTGTTTATCATGCACTTGAATCTAAAGTCAGCCTACTTCGTGGTGTCAGTTAAGCCACAGTGGAAACCTTGTGAAAGCCCCAGCACCAGCTACCGCCATGTTTTCCACAAAAAGAACAGTGGCATTGCTTTCCATATATCTTTAATTTGTGGTTTAGTAAGTCACTTTAATCTGCTGTGTTCAATGTTTTTTTTTTCCAGGCACATGCTACTTTTTCAAGTTAATGTAGAAAACCACATCCAGAATCTAGAGCCCCCAGCCTGCCTAGCCATAATTTAATAATAGATAAGGGGAGGAGAGGCGACATGAGAGCCCAACAGCCGCTGCAGTGCCCGCTTCTTGTCCATCTTTCTTGGCTGCCAGCTTGTCGCACCTGCACCCCCACCGCGTGCTTTTCTCGGCCCCGCCCAGGACCCTAGGGGTGGCCGGGCAGTCCTGTCGCCGAGGAGGCTGGGGGAGGGGGGGGCTGGCGCAGGGCCCGCCCCTTGCCCCTTGCCCCGCCTGGTGTCTAGGTTAAGGTGGAAGATTTCGGTCAGGAAGTGGGCCTTGTGTGGGGAGGCGGGAAAGTGCTTACCCGGCAGGCGTTTCGGTCTGAACGTAGGAGTCCCTCAGTGCCCTCGACTCTGACCAGCAGGTCCATGCGGTCCTCCTCGTCGGAGGAGATCCTGATGTCATCCGGTGGGTCGGCTGTCAATGTTGCCTTGGACACTGGGCGAGTAATGTGAGGAGGCAGGTTCTCCACGATGGGGTTGTTCATGGCTCCCCTGGCCCCCACGCTGCGTTCTTCGGGCCGTCTTTCATCCGTCCGCGGGCGGGCGGGCGTGGGGTGGGGGACAACTGCAGCAACTCCGCCCTAGCGAGGCTGGGGCAGCCCCTTCTCCACTCAACGCTTGCTCCGACAACCACCCCGTCATGAGCCCATCGCTCCGCCCGCGTGGGTACCCGACTGCACTGATGTATGTTGCTCTAAACATGATAATCAGTCTAATGTAAATACATAGTTGGAAACAATGCCAGCCATTCTCAGGTAAGTTATTCTGTGATAAAACTACATTTAAAACATAATCATTTAATACATTAATTTTAATTTAATACATTTAATCATTTAATACATAATCGCACATAATACATCATTTTAAGCAGCTTTTTTTTTTTTGTACCGGAGATCGAACTCGGGTCCTTTCATGTGCGAGGCAGGCAGCGGAACCACCGAGCTAAATCCCCGGCCCCTAAGCAGTTATTTTTTTGTTTTTCCAGGGCTGGGCATCAAACCAAGTCCTTACATACTAGGCAAGCGCCTTACCACCAAGCAACACTTCTGTACCGCACTTAAACCAATTTTCAAGTTACAGCTCAGTAGCATCAAGTATATACTGTCGTACACAGGAAATTTAATTTTGATTTTTTTCTTTTTCCTTTTTTTGGGGGGGGGACAGGATCTCACCATGCAGTTAAGGCTGTCTTTGAACTCACTGTGTACCCCAGGCTAGCTTGAACTCACGGCGATCCTCCTCCTTCAGCCTCCTTGGAGTGCTGGGTTTACAGGCCTGTGCCATGCTTGGCTCAGTAAGTGTTTAATTTTAGCCAGTTCATCTAGCACTGCAATCCTGTATTTATCAAGTTTCTGTCGCAGGTGACAGGGCAAATATAATCCCCTTTGAGACTTTTTGCTTTTCTCCGGATGTATTTTCCTATGTTGCAAATTTATTCCAAAACTCTTGGCCAATTAATCCAAAAACAGAGCCCACGGACCGAGCTAAAGGACGGTAAAGAATTCAAATTCCCTATTAACTATAGTCCTGCGCGCAACTTCCAGTATCGCGAGAGACTTCTACTCCAAATAGGGGTGGAACTCAACTGCGTATGTCCCAGCAGCCTTAGCGAATTTCCAGTTCCCTGACTGCGCATGTCGTCACGTAGGTACGTTCCCCTCGGGAGCTATAAATATGGCTGCTTTGAAGCAGTCCGGTCTTTCCAACAACCACAACTTCTCTATTCTAGGTGAGTATTTTTACCCGTCTGCTTCCCGTGTTACAGGTCTAGTACCTCGATTCGACAACCAGTGTTTCCTAAGGGTGTTATTTAGAAGAAATGCCTTCAGCTGCATCCGTACGAAGGCGGGAATGGTTGCAGAGAATTGGGTACTGGGTTATGGACTGCGCCACAGCGCGTTTCTCATGGGCTCGAGCGCTAACCGGCCTGCGCTTCCCTTGGTTGTCTGTTCTGTAATTTGTCTTCCTGCCGCCTAGTAGGCACTTGTACCCTAATGGAATTATACAGTCGTTTGATTTTGGGCCCCCAATAGCTATTAAGGCTCTGTAGTTTGGAGTGAGTTAGCGACCAGCTATTCTTGGTTTAAATTTTTTGAATGAGTGAGCATTGTCTCTGCTTTTGCCATTACTATCCGCCGAGTGCCCGTTAATTTTCTAACGCTATGACGACTATGATCTTGAAGCTAAATTTTGGATGCGTTTTGGTAGTTGATGATGATATACCATAATATACCCGGAAAAATGGCTCTACACCAGGTTAAATTGTTTCTCTGCTCAGTCGTGAGTTACATAAATTGCTCTGACTGTCCAACGTGGATATCCCGGGAGGTCACTCTTCCCGGGCTCTGTCCAGGTGGCGTAGGGGAGCATAGGGCTCTGCCCCATGATGTACAGTCCCTTTCCACAACGTTGGAGAAGAAGCTGGGCCTTGTGTCTGCGCCTGCATATTCCTACAACTTCTCAGAGTCCTTTGGGCAATGACTGGGGAGATAAACCATGCAGGAAACACTCTAGATCTCACAGTTTGGATATAACTTAGTCTCGTTTAAGAAAAATTTGTTTTAATCTCTTACTTGGTGCATCATTTTTCTTGCAGAATTCACTGAAGATTTCAGATAACTTAGGCAGGGTAAGTTAAAAATGCACTGTATTGTTCGGGGATTAACAGTATTTGTCAACTAATTCTACCTTTGAATTATTTATTATAAGCACAAAATGCTGGTTGTATCTATATACAAGCTTGTTTCTGTGTATAATTTAATAAAAAGTATGTTTATGTCTTGTAAAAAAAAAAAAAAGTCCTGTTTAAAGCCGAGTGTGGTACCCAACGCTTCCAATCACAACCTTCGGGAGGTTGAGGCAGGAGGATCACCACGGATTTGAAGCCAGCCTGGACTACGTAGTGGGGTCCTGTCTCAAAAAACAAAAATGCTGGGCTGGGGATTTGGCTCAGTGGCACCTGCTCCTGCCTTGAAAGTGCAAGGTCCTGAGTTGATCCCTTATACCCAAAAAAATGCTGTTTAGTCATATTGATACAGGAGATATATACAGTTTTCAACTTGGCAGATATGAAATGTGCAGTTTGTGTACTCCTACAACATCAAAGAATGGAGTTGTGAATTAAAGGAAGAAGTTAGGAAAGTTTAATTGTACATCAGGAGATACCACCTAACAAGTGTATATGGAAAGAATAAAGGCTTTTTTCCAGACAGGGTCTTACTGTGTAGTCCAAGTTGTTCTTTTTCTGTGCACCTAGGTATTACAACAAATTCCAGTGACTCAAAAGCCGGGGAGATTGTTTTATTTAAATGTTAATCCAACTTGGCACTGAGGTCAGGAATTCCAACGTGGATATCCTGGGAGGTCACTCTCCCCGGGCTCTGTCCAGGTGGCATAGGGGAGCATAGGGCTCTGCCCCATGATGTACAGTCCCTTTCCACAATGTTGGAGAAGAAGCTGGGGTTTGTCTGCGCCTGCATATTCCTACAACTTCTCAGAGTCCTTTGGGCAATGACTGGGGAGATAAACCATGCAGGAAACAACGTCTAGTAAACATAAGGCTTTAAATTTGAACTGCAAACTTCAAAAATATAATGTGGGGGTTTTGTTCTTTTTTCCCATTCAGGAGGAGGAACCATATTGGACTTCTGGCAGATGACCTGGTTTTATTTGGGCTCCTTGAATTAGGGAGACTTGGTAAAGTGATAATGGTTATTGTGGTTTTGGTTTTCTGATAGTGTTTGTCTGCATTTGTCTCTTGGTCTTATTTTTCTGAGACGCAGGGTGTCTATAGTTCAGACTGGCTTTGAACTCAGCCTCCCAAGTGTTAAAATACGTATATACCACCATGCTTTTTTTTTTTTCCTTATTGTAACCTGGGTTTGGCCATCGTGCCTGATCTTTTTTGAAATGGCCATTTTATAGCTATTAGGAAGTAGGGAGAATGTTCAAATGAAAGGAGGACAGGGAAGGGGAGAAGAAATGAGGGAGGAGTAGGAATTAGAAAGAAAAAAAAAAAGAACAAGGAAAACAATAGAAACAAAGATTTATGAGTTACCTGTTCCGGAGGCCTTCAAAGCTGAAAGTTGTCATTGATATTAAAATAATTTGGCTTTAAAAAAACCATTCTCAAGGAGACAGCAGTTTTCAAACAACCACTTAGGATTTTGAATGGATTATTTTATGCATAAAATCTGTGTCCTTAGATGTTTGGGTTTTCTGTAAGCATTAATGTACTTCACAATTCTGATATCAAACTAATGTATTCGTGAGTTGAAATAAAGATTATATATTTGTGTGCTTTATGTGGAAATGTTATGAGGGCTTCAATATTTTGTGTGTGTGTTTGATACCAGGGATCAAACTCGGGACCTTGTGCTTGCAAGGCAGGCTGCAGAACCACTGAGCTAAATCCCCAGCCCAAGGGTTTCAATATTTTATGGGTGGTGCTAGTTAGGAAATCAGTCTTGCTGGGGATTTAGCTCAGTGGTTCTGCCCCGCAAGCACAAGGATCCCTGGTACCAAAAAAAAAAATCAAGTCTTGTTGCCATATTGGTTTGATAAAACTAAAATTCCGAAGTCCTAGGCTCCAAATACGTACATTTTGCTTATCTTGGGTTGGTCATTGTTTAAAATTATTTGGGAAAATGCACCTAAACTCGTTTGAGTTGTTCAATAAGGTGTTTGTGAGGATTTAATCCTGTTCCAATGAATTTTTGAGAATTATAGAGGTGTTGAGTGGTCATGGATGTTGAATGAGAATTGTAGGTTAAATTGCTTGTCAGATACTCCAATTAGTGTTCTTTGAGTTGATGTGCTCTTCACTCCTGTCACGTGAGCGGCACTGGAGCCTACAGTTGCCAGCTTGTCTCCTGATGTGATCCATGTCACAATGGGAGCTTCGTGAAGCCAACTAACTTGTACCAGCATTGCAGAAGGTAAAAGCCCCTCATGGAAAGATGGCCAAGAACCTGGAAGAAGGTAGTGTAGCTCTTGGTTGGGGCTGAAGTAATTTAGAGGGGTGGATGAACTCCCAGGGACTGATTTCAGACCTGCTGGAGACAAGCTGGCAAGTGGGTGTGTTTGGGTGTGAGGGAACAGCATCTACTAAGATTGCTGTTTTTAGGGTAACTAGTTACAGAAGAAAAATGGGTGTGGAGTGTTTTCTGGAGATTGAATCTTGGACCTTTGCCCTTTTGAGACAGGATCTCATATTGCCCAGACATGGCTGGAACTTGCATCCTGCCTCGGCCTCTCAAGAGGTGTGAGATTTAATAGTTGTGTGCCAGACCACACCTGGCTATAATTCTTCACAATAGTGAATAGGTCATTTTCCTGTTGTGAACATTTGTGCCAGGTACTGTTGTGGTTTTCAAGTGTTCATTTTGCGGATGTGAGTTGTTTTCCAGAGTCCATAACTAGGAGTAGATCCTCTGCACAAACAAGTACTGAAGGCTTAGTGAAGAGGAAGCTGGAGGGGAGGCAGGTTTATTCCCAGGACACTTCTGTTCCACTAAGGCTGGTCGGTGCTCATTTTGATACTTACACAAACCTTGTCTTAGGGGGAATAATTTTCAGTTCAGATTCAGTAGGAGATGGATGGCTGCGATACTGAGCAAATGAATGTGTATCATCAAATTTGGGAATCAACTAGATTTGAGTTCTGACAGCAGTCCATGTGACCTTGGAAGAGTCACAGCTGCTTCAATTCCCTTATCTGCATGAGGGCCACAAGTTCCTGTCTCACCTGGTGTAATAACCCCTATAATACCAGTACTCAAGGCTGAAGGAGCAGTATTGCCTTTGTTCCAGGACAACCTGGACTATACAGACCCTGTAAAAAACAAGCTGAGCACAGTGGTACACATCTAATCCCGTCACACTAGGAGACAGGCAGAAGGAACAAATTCAAGCCCAGCCTGGTGTACCTGTAAGACCCTATCCACAAAAAAAGCCAGGCATGGTGGCACACGCCTATAATCCCAGTACTTAGGGAGCTTGAGGCCAGAAGATTGCTGTAAATTGGCCACTCTGAACTACATAAGACCCTGTCTCAAAGATTTCATGAATGTACAGACTGAAATAGGCCTTAAAATATATCAAGAATTCAACTAGGGGCCAGGGGACATAGCTCAATGGCTCCTCACCTGCCTGGCAAACTCAAGTTCCCAAATTCAATCCCCAGTATGGGGAGGGGGCTGGATTCAGCAATATACTCTGGTAGGGAGAACCACCCACACAGACGTGAGAAAATAGGACTGGGGATTTAGCTCCGTGTTTCCACCACCAGCCTCACAAGCACAAGGTCCTGAGTTTGATCTCCAGTACCAAAAAAGAAAATGCTGGGTTTGGTGGCATATACTTATAATCTCAGCTTCAGGCTGAGGCTGGAAGAACTCTTGAGTTCAAGGCCAGTCTTTTTTGTTACCAGGGATCGAACTCCGGCTTGTGTATAGATCTTAATTTGTCTCTTTTTTTTTTTTTTTT